AAGTAGACTGAAAGTTCCGACAAAACCGAATTTATAACAACTCGACCACCAACCGATAGCTGATTGTTATTCCACCATGACAGTCTAGATCCCAGTGTCTATAACTAGCTGCCACATCGCTTTTGTTCTTGACTTAGCACCAATTGGCATCCCTAGATACTTGAAATATGGAGATCCTAGTTTGTACTTTAACACCTTTACTGCTTCATCGAGCCACTAGTGAGAGGTATTTATCCCGATCAATAGAATTTTGTGATATTTAGCCTTAGGCCTCGACATAATATCGAGCAACATAAGGTTGGACTTGATAGCCAAATGTTCGGCCAACTTTTCTTGTCGATGATCAAGGTGTCGTCAGCTATTGAAGATGAGAAAATTGTCTCGTCCTGCCCTCAAATGTGTACCCGAAGAATGTTCCTATGGCGATGGCCTTTTACATTAACACATTAATACTTCGACTGCCATAAGGAATAAAAAAGGCGACATTGGATCACCATGTCTAAGACCTCGAACCATCTTAAATTCCTTAGTAGGACTTCCATTTACCAATACCAAAACTGAAGCTGTTCTTTGGCATTCTAAAATCCATTTTCTCCATTTGTCGTGGAACCCCATTTTTTCAATAACACAATATGTAAAACTCTAATCAACCAAGTCAAGTCGATAACTCTTTTAAGTATGTTTGCTAACACTTTTGAGATTACCTTATAAATGCAGCCAATTAACGAAATATGCCAATAATCTGAGATTTTCACCAGATTCTGCTTTTTTGGAATCAACACCACAAAGGAGAAGTTTGCCCCCTTTGACTATCTTGCCATGCTGGTGAAATTCTGCCATCACTCTCAGAATGTCAGCTTTGATTTCATTCCAAAATTCTATTAGAAATCCAAAATTTACTTCATTCGGTCCCATGCTTTTGTTGTTATCACATTCCCAAACTGCTCGCTGAATTTCCTGTTCTGAAAAAGCAATGATCAGATCATCATTGTCCTTGTCATTTAATCTTTTGAATATCATGTTGATTAGTATATGTCTCGGCCCTTTACTCGAAAACTAGTACTAAAAGTGCCCAACAATGGCATATTTAATTTCTTCCACTTCTGTAAGCTTTTTGCCTTCGACATCAAGGTTTATTATTGTGTTTCCTTGCCTTATATTATTAATACATCCGTGGAAGTATTTGGAACTCACGTCACCCTCCTTCAACCACCTTACCTTGGACTTTTGCCAATGAATGCCTTAATTTAGTCTTGAAAAATTAAACATTTGTGTCGTTAATTCACTCTTGGTATTAATCTCTCCTTTTGTCAGCCCCACTTCTTTTTCTTTCACTTCAATTCAATTAATTTCTGCTATTGCCTCTTCGATTTTTCCTTCTAGGTTTTGGGTAAGATTTTTGTGCCAGTATCTAAGTCTTACTTTGATTATTTTTAGTTTTTCTTTCAAGACAAACATCCCTCACCCATCTACCTCTAACTTTTGCCACTCTTGTTTGACGAAATCATGGTATCCCTTTATTTCTTTCCAGCAATTTAACATTTGAAAGGGTTTGGGCCCCAATTTATCTTCTTTCACACAATATTATCAGACAGTAATCTGAAAAACCTTTGACTAGGCTCCAATGGTTACAATCTGACCAACTCTTATTCCAAGCTTCATAAATGAGGAATCTGTCAAGCCAGCTCATTGATGTCCCGTTCAGCCTAGACCACATGAACCTTCTTCCAAATAGAGGTAAGTCTATTAATTATGTTTTTGACGTAAACTCATCAAAAGCTTTCAATTCCTCCCTTCTAGCTTGACTATTTACCCCTTTCCTTTCTGTTTCCACGCGAATAACGTTAAAGTCTCCCAAAAGACACCACCTTATTTCTCTCTTTGACAAAATCAAAGTTGGTAAATCCTTCCACAACCACTACTTTCTGTTCGCCTCGCGAGGTGCATATGCATTCACTATTTAGACCAAACATTTTCTTAGCCTCACTTAACTTCCACAATGAGCAAATGATCTATACTATATTTCCTCTATAACGAGAAGACACAGTTATCCCAGATTGTCGTCAATCCTCCTAACCCTCCTTCTGATGCCATAAATGCGAAGTCACAGTCAGGCACCCCCACATCATAATACACTGGTTCCTACTAAACTCTTTCATCTTTGTCTCCAGAATGCAAATCATGTCTGGTTTCTGGTTCAAAATTAACTTCCTCCTTTTTGAATTTTTTGCTGCACCCCCTAAACCCCTTATTTGTAGCTGATCAGCTTCATAATGATACCTATTTTTGACACCCCCGAACACTACTTGTTAACAGTGGTCCCCTGCACTCCCAATGTCTGCATTTCTTTTTTCTGTGTATACCCCTGCTGATAGCTCGTGTACAATTTCTGCCTCCCCCCCTTTGTGCATTACTCCATAATCTTTCCCTAAGTCCCACACATCTCTTGCAATTTGTCTTGCAACCCCATTTAAAAGTATACAACTACTCTTTTCTAGTTCATTATTTTGGTAAAATTAAATCTAAGTGGTTGTTTTCCTAAGATCGAGTTTGATTACGATGGCTACAATTACATTTAGTGCTTGATTTCTTCCCTTTCCTCCAGGATTTCTTCTTCTCCTTCATGATTTCTCTTATCTGTCTTCTTCTTTCTTTGTATGCTCTTTCCTTTTCCATCACATATTCTATTCTCAACGTAGCATTTTTTCCGTTTTCTTCTTCTGCGATTATGCACTGAATTCCATTGTCTGGCCCCCTTCCTTTGATGATGTTTTCTTGTTGTTTTTTTTTGGCTCTACTACTACATTTTTGTTTCTACTGCAGTCGTGTTCCACTTCCTTGGCCTTTAGGCTTAGAATTTTTGGGCCTAATAGTTCCACGATTATTTCCTTAATTTGATGTGGACCTTCCCTTATATCCCCTTCAAATTGCCCATTATACTCTATCTGGCTTTCCACTGCATTAACACTCGTTAATTTATTGTTATCTTTTGAATTATTTTTAATTAGCTGGGACCCACTTGACTCTGACCCATTTCCTTCTTCATCTATAATTCCATCTATTTTAAATTTTGACTCTAGTCGTACTGTCTTTTTTGTCGACTTTTTTTCCACCGCCGTATTATTAATTATTGACTCTCTCCCATTAGTCGTTTCATATTTTTTCTGGCACAAGTTTAGTCTTCCCAAGGCAAGCATTAATTGTTTATAATTAACCTTTATCCTCTGCATGTTGTCTTCTTATTCTTCTTCCAATGACACCATAGACGATTGTATAAATGACTCATTAGAGCTATGTGAAACATCATCGCCTTCTCCAAGCATCCACCGGGACCCTAAATGCTCGAATCCATACAAGTCTTGTTCGTCCTGCATCTCTTGGCTCCCATTCCCGTAGTGTTTTGAACCATTGTTGAAAGACATATTTGAATTCCTTCACCAGTTATTTCATGTCTTCGTCATCGTCCACCTTTGGAAACATTTTGTCTCCCCCATTGGTATAACCTTTATGGATATGATTCCTTATTCAGACATTAAAACGTGCAACATGTCTATTTGCTTTACATTATGAACAAAACCCGTGAATCCCCTTTTTCCCATGCCATCTCTTCATCACTCACCTTTATTATCATTCCAACCTCTTTTTTTTCTTCTCCTTTCTGTTTAGCTTCTTGTTTCCTTATTTTCCAATCCCTCTTGTCCTCTTCTTCCTATTCAGTTTTGTTGTTTGTTATAGCTTCTGCATATGTTATTGCTTCTCTTCTCATACTTCTCCATCTCTCTCTTCTTTTTCTTTGCCCATAGCTTGCTTTGTTCCTGACAGCGGTTGTATTGTTTCCTTGTTGTTGTTTAAGATTTATCATTCTTCCTGTCAGATTTATGTGTATGAATTCTTCTGTTGAGTCTGAAAAACCTGGATATGTTCACCTAAACTTTGTAAAACCCAAACCAAATATCTTTAAGTTGTTCTTCAATCCAGGTTGTGTCTTTAATGTCACTGTATCTGACAAATCCGAAGATTCTTCCCATCTTGTACCTTTTCCTTGCTATATACACACCAATTACATTTCCCCGTCGTTTAAATGTTCTTTCCAACTCCCTTTCAATTATGATTTTTGGTAGGTTGTTGCCGTAGCATGTTACGATGTCTTTCTTATCTATGTCGATTTTGTCGTTGAAATTTCTTATTAGTCTACATATTCTCTCTCTTTCTTCTTGACCATATGTCCACCCCTCTTGCTCGCTCTCTCTTCTTCTCTCTCATTTTCTTTTAATAATCTTTTGACTCGATAAAATTCATGATTTATTAATATCAAAATCAACCTTAAGGTTAGGCTTGAGAAAGAAACAATTACAACTAAATAAACATTAAAATCTTACAAACATTACAAAAGGTTCAAAATAGAGCTAGAATAAAAAACATAACAAGCTTAAATGCACATAAGTTACAACCTCAACCCCTAATAGAAACAACAAATTATAAACATTCAAGCACATAAAACAACCACTAATTCAAAGCATACAAAAAAAAAATTCAAGTATCATTAAAATTAAAATTTAACCGGTTCATTTAAACGTAATTAATGTTATATTAAAATTAAACTTTATTTGGGTACAAGTTTTTGTTTCAAATATAGTGGAATAAGGATAATCAAGTCTCAAGAGACGAGTCAGGTGTAATGTAACTAAAGAAGAGAATTGTCAAACAAGCAGCATCCAAAACAAAAGTGGTTCATTCATTCGTGTTAGGGAATCCACGTCGTGTGAATCACAATCGCCATAAAGGAGCGTAGCTTTAAACACTCTCTAATCACGCAGTCACGCACACACGCACGCGCTGTAGTTTCTCTCTCTTCATTTCATCCTATAAAATCACCTTAAACTCCCCCTTGTTTCCCTCAGACAATGTCTCAGTTTCACATTTCCAAATAAACGCTTAGTGCTCCCACTTTTCTATCTGTCTCCCATTAACAAAAAAAAACTTTTTCAACTTTCACACCAATGGCTCCAAGAGACAACAGACTCACCGCACTTCCCGGCCCCAACCCGACAATTCAGAAAGAGATCCGTTTCAGAGGCGTTAGGAAGCGTCCCTGGGGTCGTTACGCCGCTGAGATCCGTGACCCAGGCAAGAAAACACGCGTCTGGCTCGGAACATTCGACACCGCAGAGGAAGCGGCGCGTGCTTACGACACAGCAGCACGCGAGTTTCGCGGCGCGAAAGCGAAGACCAATTTTCCTACGCCGTTGGAGATTATGAACATTAACAACACAACACGCAGCCCAAGTCAGAGTAGTACCCTTGAGTCACCATCACCGCCGCCGCTTGATCTATCTCTCAAACCATTCTCCAGTAGTTCCGGTGTCACCATGGCGATCCCCGTTGCGCGTCCTGTTTTGTTTTTCGACGCTTTTGCTCGCGCCGATACTAGCCTCAGCGTTGGTCGTCGTGAGATGTGCGGTTTTGACCGTCCCATGGCGGATTTCCGACGCGCTGCCGTTCAGAGTGATTCTGATTCTTCTGTTGTTGAATACGACGGTGTCCCACGTCAGAGACTCTTGGATCTTGACCTTAACGTTCCTCCTCCACCTGAAGTTGCTTGATCTGGCTCTGTTTTGAAGCAAAGATTTGAAATTTGGAATTTTTTTAAGTACCCATTTTGATGAACGGAATCACTCTCGAGAAACATATTTAACGGAGAGAGAAAGAAGAAGAACGCAAAGTGTGTTGCTGACATGGTGCTCCGGTTTGTTGTTGATGATAACGAGCACGCTTTGTAAATATAACTGAAAGATTCAACTTTTTTTATAATTTTTTTGCAACTGAGAACTTATTAGTATCTCATGGTTGTTTCTGCAGTTAATTTTAAATCATGAAATGAAAATTTACTAGTTAATTATATGATAATTTTATTAGAATTCATTCTCTTGTTTGATGAAGGTGGGGAACACAGATTTGAAAAAACAAAAGAGTTGTTTTTTAATTGATTTTAGCATTAATCTAACGTTATCCACTAGGTAGTCTTTCCTTTTTTTAAGGTACAGTTGAGATTTGTTTTTATGTTTTTGGTGAGCTGTTATGGATTTGGCGGTGGAGATTATACAAACAATTACTGGCATGTGAATGTGGCCGCCGTTGCAATAATCTTAATTAGGTTTTCTCTAACGAACGTAACTTTGTTTGGTTTGTTCTTTTTGAATATTTTTAATTAATGTTTGGTTACACTAGAGTGTCAACGTGGACCCCACTTCATTCCTTTAATTTTAAAATCAGAAAATTTGAATTGCTTAAGCCGATTACACGGGAGTGTCAATATGAATTTTTTATTGAACATTATGTAGATTTTAATCATTTGTATAAAATCAAAATTTGGCTGAATTCAGTTTATCATAATTAGTGCACTTTTGTTAATGAATCCACTTCGATTTCAAATTTTGGCTTGTTGCAAAACATCTCAAAGTAGAAAAGGGCTTTTTCAAGTTCATGATGATGATGAGAAGCGTGGGTAATTGATCTGAATGGTTCAGAACAAAGTTTTTGTTATCGTGATTCGTGTTCATTTCGTCGTGAATCTCAATGATAAGTTTAAATCCTACGGCGAAACACACGACTTGGTCCACCGAATGAAGAAAGAGAGTCCTCGTGTATTCGTTTCTTTCGATAATGACTCGATTCATTTTTTTTCTATTCTTGCATTGCGTGTTGTTTAAAAAGAATAATTAAATAATTTAGTCTTTTTTATTTTATTAATGTTAATTGTGCAGGCGGCACCGACGGCGAAAACACTGCGTACGAAAAGAGACCGAATCAGAAGCGAGCGTGTTTGACGGTGGGCCCCAAACGAGCATTCCGTGTTGACTATGTGCCTGTCGGAGTTCTTGTTGTCTTCACGTGATGTTTCAGCGCCCCCATCTTTTCTATGTCTCCTCCTTTTCTACTTTCAAACTCTACACTTTTTTATTCAAATAAAAATATTTCTTTCAAAAAGCCTACTACTCCACTTTGTTTATGCTTATCTTAAATTCTGACTAAAAAAATGCTTATATTTATGTATAAAGAATGTAATAAACATTTCTTGTGATTTAAAAATAAAAATTTATTATCAAATGACTGTTTATATTTAAAAACAAATTGAGTACTTATCATATATATATATATATATATATATATATATATATATATATATATATATATATATATATATATATATATATATATATATATATATATATATATATATATATATATATATATATATATATATATATATATATATATATATATATATATATATATATATATATATATATAAAAATTAGGGTAATGTTAACATGTTAAAATAAAATTTTGTATGAAAAAAAACAATAAAATTATTAATTCTAAAATTATATTAAATTTATTACACAATTTTTAAAAAAATTTGTTTATATCTATCTCTTAATTTGTGTCTTGAGACACAAATTAACATTATCTTATAAATTATAATATAATTTTTAAAATTCAACATAATATTACAAAACATTATAAATTATTTATGGCTTTGAAAACATAGATAAAATGTACTACTTCTCATTACTTTTTTTTTTTTTAAGTTAAATAATGACTGAGCTCTTTAGTTTCAATTTCTAATTATTTTAGTTATTCTCTTTTTCTTTTTTCTTCTTTATCATCCTCAAATATAAGCAATTTTTATTTTGCTTAAATTTTATTTTGTTGATTAGATAACTCCATTCTACATCAAGCTTTCATCTTTCTTCAATTGATAAGTTCTTTTGATTAGGACACTTGATCTATGTTAGAATTGTTAAATAATTTTGATGAGTTGAGTCTCTGATTTTTTTCCATTGATTCAAAATTTAAAAAATTAATAGTATTAGAAGAACTATATATAAAGTTGGCTGATGTTGGTTGGGTTCTGACAAACCATAACTACCTCAACTATCTTCAATTAATTATAACAACCTTTTTAGTAAAAGAGTTTAAGCCTAACAAATTAATTAAACTAATACATGTAATACTCCTCCTCAAGCTTAGGTGGTGGAAGACCAACTTTAATCTTGACATGTAAGTCATTGAAGTTTGTGGAGGCAAATGGTTTAGTAAGAGCATCAGCAGCCTCAAATACATTTGGAACATGTAGCTTCTTGGAAGCCACATATTTCTTTATAAAGTGAATGTCCAATTCAACATGTTTTCTTTACGCGTATGAAGAATTAGAATTTAAGAGAGATGAACGGTATTAAGACTATCACACAACAACATGGAAGGAAAGAAGGGAACACAAAGCTCAGTGAGGAGTGATTTAAGACATAAGAGTTAAAAAGTGGTATGTGTCAACGTGTGATATTTCGTCTCTACACTTGATTAGGCCATAAGTGATTATTTCTTAGAGCTCCAAGAGACCAAATTGGGGCCAAATAAAATACATAAGCCAGAAGTAGATTTTCTATATCAACATCACTTGCTTAATCACTATCATTATATGCATGAAGAGAGAACTTGTGAATGGCATTTGAGAGAAATAGAGTGAATGCAAAACTAATTGTGCCACTTAGATGCCTTAAGATTCGTTTAAAAGTAATCAAATAAGTATTTAAGAAAGAAGCCATGAAATGACACACCTTATTGACACTAAATGCAATATCAGGGCGTGTCAATGTAACATAGTGTAGCGCCCAAACTATGGACCTGTAATGACGAGGTTTAGAGAACTTATTAGGGCCAAACTTCCTGAGTTTAGGACTACTAAGCATTGGTGTGGAAGCTCAATTAGGGAACGTATTCTAACTTAGACAACACAATAAACCCTTGAGCATGATAAGTGACTTTAATGCCAAGGAAATATTTAGGTACGCCATACTTTTTTAGAGCAAACTTTAGATGAAGTTTAATAATGAGATCATGTATAAGCGTAGAGGATGAGCCAATTATTAAGATGTCATCCACATAGACCAAATCATACACAGAACTCCTTTTATGAGAGTAAACAAACAAGGAATGATCATATTTTCTTGAAATAAACCCAAAATGAAGCAAGGTTTGATGAAGTTTCTCATAGCACTACCTTGGGTCTGTCTGAGGCCATACAAGGATTTGTGCAGTTTGCAAACAAGATACTTGTCAGAGTGTTGGCTGAAAATGAGCCAATTGAAAGCATCGATAGCGAAAGCGTCGACCTCGACAGGAGTTGAGAGAAATAAGCTCCTAACCGAAAGTATCCATTGGTGGAAGGAAGCATCTAGCCAATATTGGCAGCAAAGGGTCGACATCGACAAATCTAGAAGGGACGCACACTAAGTCGACATCACAAGGGGAACTACGTGGTCGACAGGGACATAAGTTGGTCGACCAAAAAACCAACAAAGGCACCCAGACAGAGGAGCCTTAGTGCCTGGTGGGAAATAAATTTGACAAAGGGAACGTGGGAGAAGTTACAAAAGTAGTGGTCTTACACGTGGCGGCTCCTGAAGCATCCTGACAGTTATTTTATTTGCCTATATAAAGCAAAGCCTGGCTTGAAGATAGATGGGTCTTTTCTCAACATTCCAAGAAAAACACTCTGAATACCACACACTAAAGAAAAAAGAGTTCCCATTTTCATTACAAAATGTACAAATGCGCCCAGTTGTACTTTCCTTTTTTACATTAAATTTACCAAGTCTTTATGTTATGAAAGCAATGCCTTTACTTTTATGCCACTTTTTCAGCACTTCTTTGTTGTATTAGGAACATCGTTGTCTTTACTTGTCTAGATTTTATCATACACGCTCCCAAAAAGTAAACAACTGTCGAGTGCCCCATAAATCCTAAGTAAACAACACACCCAGTACCAGAGTCCTGGGACTAATTTGGCCAGTACTGCAAGCAAACCCACGACGAAAGGTCAGAGTTTGTCCGCGCGGAAAACACGTGTGAACAAATTGGCACACCTGATGGGACACGAAGGTTTGGGTGTATGCAGTTACGTAGTGGAAAGATTGTAACACCGCGAAAAAACAAAGAAACGTCTTCGTAGGAAAATCCGGTTTTATCACCGGTGACGGCTATTAGCACCGGATCCACGACAATAATCACTTCGACCGCTCACAACGGACCATTCGAGACTCCGAGTCGAGACCCGCGACGACAGGAGTCGAAGGGTAATACTTTCCCAGTTTCACTATGCCGGCACCCCAACACTTAGGGATGCCGACAGAGTTTATGTCAACGTTACGCTATGGTGGGGTAGGCACGGGAGAGAATTCCTCGTCAGCATTCTCGCCATATCGAAACCTAGGGCCCATGACCCAACAAGGGGGAAGGCCACCAGGTTTTAGTTCACTTCCCACCGCAATACCGACTTTCACCACTAGTTCCGTCGCGGTTATGCGACAACAGATAGACGAAAGCAATCACGAGATGGTACAGATGCTGACCCAACAAATAGGTATTATTCTGAGACCATTAATACAAGATTCGACTCAGAGTTACCAATAATTGGCAACTAAAATGACACGAATATGAGACTTCATAGGGCCCCCTAGAGCCATAGGAAGAAAGACCCCTCCCAATCATCCCGACACGCCTGTCCGACAGAATGAGCCTGTCGAAGAAAGGAACGACC